CATACCGCTGACCTCGTGCGAATGAACAAAGATGGCCACCGCCACGTGTTGGTTTGCACGAACTGCGGCCACCCAGCGGTCGGCAATTTACCTACAGCAGGTTCCTAGCCTTGGAGGTAAATTGCCTGCACACTTCCACTTCTGGGTGGTCTGCCTGTGTGGTACCTGGTTCAGTAAGCCGCATTTACTGAACCAAGGGGGAGAAAGCCATAGACAAAGTATTTGAACGGTCTGGGGACATAGTCTTAAAGGGGCATTGTCACACAAAGTCTCAATGTATCCCCAGACGGTTCTTAAAGGGCCAGCATGGTCCAATACAAGTCCATAAACCACAATGCAGTTTTTAAAGGGCCAGCAGCAGCACAATATAAATCCATTAGCCCAAATAATGTTTGTAAAGTGCCATACAACCCAGGGCCATAGTCATGATGCTGGAGGCTGGCACTCAGGCTCCTCCAACAGCCAGGGGCAAAGGGCAACTTGTCACCTAAAAATCCAGTGACGAAAGGCATTTCGTCATACCTTCTCTTTCCGACAACTCACCTACACTCTGGACAGATGCTGCGGCCAATACTGGCTTTGCAGCCATCTTTGGCAATAAATGGCTTTGGGGTCCATGGCCTAGAGAAGGTAAGCTTCTCCACTACATCAGCCATGTTTGAATTATACCCAATCATGCCCGCTGCTATTGCCTGGGGGCCAGACTGGGACGGTCACTCAGTCAGATGTTTTTCTAACAACCTAGCCACTTGCCACATTGTCAATAAAGGCCGGTCATCATCTTTGGTAATTATGAGGTTTTTAATGAAACTCACATGGGTAGCAGCGACTTGCAAATTTTTCATTACCTGCATTCACGTTCCGGGTGTCACAATTATATCAGCTGATCACTTGTCTCGGTTTCGATTTCAGGCCACCCTCCAGACTCTGCCCACTGCTTCCCGGCAGGCTACCCCCACCCCTTCATTCCAAGACATGCTCCTGGATTAGATGTCTTATTGATTCATGCACGTAATGTTTCCCACCTTGCACTTTCGGTTAACTCTAGGAAAACCTATGATAGGGCCTTTCACATTTTAACTAAATTCTTAGCGGAATTTTAAGTTCAGGACATGTTTGCTCAGAAAACTATATTGGGGTTTACTTCTTAATTGTCACTTTAACTTAAAATGATCTTTTAACATGATCAAACTTTATCTAACGGGCATCCAACACCACACCACACTATTACAACATCCTAATAAAACAGGATTTCTTTCATCTTACCAGATAACGACTTTACTGAAGGGAATCCAAAAGACAGATACACATCTACCCCCTGAAAGACTACCCATCCACAATAAAATATTCCAATCATTATCTGACTTGTTAGATACAGCACCATTCGAACAAATAAGCAATATGGTAATAAAAACATCCATCTATCTAGCCTTTTATGGATTTTTACATTCAAAGGAATTCACCACCAGTAATATAACGGCTACAGACTACATTAAAATAAATCGATATCACCAAATCCTTAGACCATTACATTCTGTCACTTCATCACTCTAAAACTAAGATATAAGATAGAAAAAGTGGTAAACCGTGCCAAAAGTGCTCAAATTGAATGTAAAAAAAAAAAGTATTTTATACATACATATAGATCTTGGTTAATGTAACAGGATAAAACCCTCAAAGGAAACAAAAATACAATAGAATAATAGTGCAATATGCTGTAAACAATTAACACATATGTACCGTATTTATCGGCGTATAACACGCACCGGCGTATAACACGCACCTCATTTTAAGAAGGAAATTTCAGGGAAAAAAAACTTAAAGGACCACTATAGTGCCAGGAAAACATACTCGTTTTCCTGGCACTATAGTGCCCTGTGGGTGCCCCCACCCTCAGGGACCCCCTCCCGCCGGGCTCTGGAGAGAGGAAGGGGTTAAACACTTACCTTTCTCCAGCGCCGGGCGGGGAGCTGTACTCCTCCTCTCCTCCTTGCTCGCGACGTCATTGGCTGAATGCGCATGCGCATTCAGCCGGTTGCATAGGAAAGCATTTACAATGCTTTCCTATGGACGCTTGCGTGCTCTCACTGTGATTTTCACAGTGAGAAGCACGCAGGCGCCTCTAGCGGCTGTCAATGAGACAGCCACTAGAGGCTCTGGAGGCTGGATTAACCCTCAGTATAAACATAGCAGTTTCTCTGAAACTGCTATGTTTATAAAAAGGGTTAATCCTAGAGGGACCTGGCACCCAGACCACTTCATAAAGCTGAAGTGGTCTGGGTGCCTAGAGTGGTCCTTTAAATTTCAAATAAAGAACTTCTTACCCCCCTTTCTTACTCCCCCCTCCCCCTCTTCTTACTTTCCCTTCCCCCTCTTACCCCCTTCTTACTCCCCCTCCCCCTCTTCTTACCCCCCTTTCTTACTCCCTCCCCTCTTTTCTATTTCCTCCCCTCTACCCCCTTTCTACTTCCACCTCCCTCTTTCTACCCCCCCTCTTTCTACTCCCTCCCCTCTTCTTACTCTCCCCCCTCTTTCTTACTTCCCTCCTCTACTCTTTCTTACTCCCCTCCCTCTCTTTCTTACCTCTTTCTTACTTCCCCCTTTCTACTCCCCTCCTCTTTCTACCCCCTATTCCCTTTCTTTTCTCTACTCTTCTACCTCTTTCTTACTTCTTTTCTTACCCTCCTCTTCTTACTCTCCCCCTCTTCTTACCCTCCTCCCTCCTTTCTACTCCCTCCCTTTCTACCTCCCCTCCCTCTATTTACCTCTTTCTATTTCTTCGACATACGAAGCAACCAGCAGCCGCCGGAGTGATAGGAAGGTGCACGCTCAGTGTGCACCTTCCTGTCAGTCCGACCAGGTACAGGAAACAGAAACTCGCGCGGAACAGGAGTTTCTGTTTCCTGTACCCGGTCGGACTGACAGGAAGGTGCACACTGAGCGTGCACCTTCCTATCACTCCGGCCGGCCACCGCGGACAGCAGAGCAGCTCGGCCACGCTACAGGGGAGGTGAGAACCAACAGCAGCCGCCTGAGCGCTCTTGACAGAGCGCTCAGGCGGCTGCAGTATTTAAAGGGCCGGCATATAACACGCACCCACAATTTCTCCCCTATTTTCAGGGAGAAAAAGTGCGTGTTATACGCTGATAAATACGGTATATAAAATACGAGGTAAAGACAAACTCACAATTTGTAGATCTACTGAGAGCTCTGCTGTATAGCGCCTGGACGATATAATCCCCGTCTTGGGATCTGTAGGTATTTGCTGTGCGGAATATCCAAATTCAGCAACCATATATATAAGGAGAGAAAAAAAAAATACAAAATTCAATGGTACAGTATGTAAAACAAAATCAGAAGTGTAAAAAGTAGATGTCCTACTTACAATATTACAACGTTGATAGCTTGTGGTAGCATGATCCCCACCAATGGATATCAGGAATTAGCAGGAATCCAACAGTACCAGGAAGAAATATGTAGAAACCAGAAGAGGATTGGAAAAAAAGGCTTAGACTTTATTAATAAAAATAATCTATAGTAAAAAATTAGCTTCCAGTCCTTCACTTGATGCATTTCGCCCGGGTTTGGGCTTCATCAGAAGTGTGGATATGTCTGTAACCCTGCCAGACTTTTATAGGTAGTCTTATTAGCTTGATTTCAATCCGGTGTGGTGCTGTACTTCCTGCTTCCGCTTGGGTCGCGGGCGTCGACCGGAAATGACGTGCCGCGACTCCCAATGGCTGATGGGATATGTAGCATATGTATCATACATTGGCCGCAATGAGGGTTGAGTTCATGGTGACGTCGTATGGGGGTGATGCCAATTCTTTACAGTCTGTTTGTTAAACTGAAGCATAATAAAATTGGTATGTAGTAAAGTCTGACAATATTAGGGAAACTAATATCTTAGAGTCTGAGATTGAGAGATTTGGAGAATATCCAGGTTTATCTCTCTTAACTAGAGTTGAGCAAACCCGGACTGTAAAGTTCGAGTTCGTACTGAACATTACCTTTTTTGGACCCCGGACCCGAACACGGACATATCACGGTATGTTCGGGTTGGAGTTTGGTGTTCAGCGATTTAATGACGCGTTTTGAAAGGCTGCAGGGCAGCCAATCAACAAGCGTGTGCCCTTAGGAGCCATCTATTGCCCTCCCCAGCCCCCACCCCTGAGCGGTGGGTGGGGGCCCTAAATATCAATAAGGACCTACTGTCCTCCCCCTTGGCCCCCACCCCTGCATGGCAGGTGGGGGCCCTAAATAACAATAAGGGGGGGGACCTACTGTCCTCCCCCTGACCCCCACCCACCCCTGAGGGTTGGGTAGGGGCCATAGATAAGAATTTGGCAGGGACCTACTGTCCTCCCCCCGACCCCCACCCTGGCATGGCGGGTGGGGACCCTAAATAACAATAAGGGGGGACCCTAAATAACAATAAGGGGGGGCCTACTGTCCTCCCACCCGACCCCCACCCACCCCTGAGCGGTTGGTGTGGGCCATAAATAAAAATTTGGGGGAGGGACACCTACCTGCTTGGTTGGTTGGGGCCCTAAATAACAATAAGAGGGGGACATACTGTCCCCCTCCCTGGCCCCCACCCCTGAGCGGCGGGTGGGGGCCCTAAATAAAAATTGACCCTCCCAGGTGACTAGGGGTACCCAAACACCTAGTCACCCCCCTCCCCCCAAAAAAATTACCCCTACCTACCCCCCTCATCCTAAAAATAATGAAGGGGGACCCTTATCTAAATACCTGTAAAAAAATTAAAATAGACTTACTGTAGCGGATGGCCATGAGCTGCCCTGGGACTTACATTATGTTTTAACTGTATTCGTCTATTTGCTAAATGTCTATGCAGTAAAGGAATGCATTCGTGTAAAATAGCTAAGTTCTATGTGTAAAATGTATTGGATTCGTCTGAATGTAAGGTAGTTTCATTCCCTTAGTTTGTTCGAATGAAACTACCGAACAGTCAGACCTCCCTGTGTGAAGTGTGCCTTCAATTACCCGTTGCAACATTGTTGCGAACGGGTAAATGACAAGCTGTGTAGCAATCCTTTGTTCCCAGGGGTGGCCGCCATTCGAGAAACAAACACGTGGCGGCGGCCATCTTAACCTCCCGAACAGCGGTGTTTTGCTGTCGAGTGTCTGGAACTAAAAACGGACACTCGATTAGGCGAACACCGCTGAGACCTCCATCAGCCCGGTCCGTTCGGTTCCAAACTACCGAACGGCCCCTTGTTCGGTAGGCATAATCAACCGAACGAGGGGATTCAGGCGAACCCTCCCAAGCCTCTATAGCTGGAGGCTTTCAGGTACGGCATTTGCCTGTTCCAGGACCGACCGCAGGGCCCCATCGCATGGAGCCCACTTCGGCTAGTTCATCCAGCACGGTCGGTCATTTTATTCCCTCCAGGAAATTCCCGAACCCCTGGTCCGATCTGGGTGATTTTTGGATATGTTGTTCACCCAGATCAGGGCTACCAGGGGATGTATAATTTAAAGGGGTACCCCTAGGTTTAGGGGTACATCCAGAAACGGGGGGAATTGCTGTACTGGATAAGGGGATTATGATGCAGGCTGAGGGGAGGAGATGTGTGGGCAGTTACCGGGACAGGATTGGCTACTGTATTAATGAATGGAAATCCCTCCCTTGCATGGGAGCATGCTATATAAGGCACTGTGGAATAAAGGTTGTCAGTTCTGCTCCTGAAACTGTGTGTCGTCCAGTTATTGGGATTGCTGTTGGGATATTGCTGTGTTATTTTGCCTGCTGGAAACCTTGCCTGTGGATTTACAATTTACTTGTTCCTGAGCCTCACTTGGATTATAAGCGGAGATAACCTGGGGAATATTGTAACTCCGCTACACTTACCATTTGATGTCTTCTTTCTTCTAAACTCTTCTTTTTTCAGCCATAAAAAAGGCCCCCAAAAAATCCATAATAACCAACGCATCGATCAGGGGTGGGGGCCGGGGGGGGGGAGGACAGTAGGTCCCCCCCCTTATTGTTCTTTAGGGCCCTCACCCACTGCGCAGGGGGGGGAGGACAGTAGGTTCCTCCTCCCAAAAATTCTCATTTATGGACCCCACCCAACGCTCAGGGGTGGGGGCCAGGGGAGAGAATAGTAGGTCCCCCCTTATTGTTATTTAGGTCCCCCACCCGCCGCGCAGGGGTGGGGGAGGACAGTAGGTCCCCCCCAAATTCTTATTTATGGCCCCCACCCGCCGCTCAGGGGTGGGGGACGGGGGGAGGACAGTAGGTCACCCCCCCTTATTGTTATTTAGGGCCCCCACCCGCTGCTCAGGGGTGGGGGCTGGGGGGAGGACAGTAGGTCCCCCCTTATTGTTATTTAGGGCCCCCACCCACCACTCAGGGGTGGGGGCCAGGGGGGAAGACACTAGGTCCCCCTCCACTTTCTTATTTAGGGTCCCCACCCATCGCACAGAGATGGGGGCAATAGGTTTTGGGGGTTTTTTTTGACCGTGAGCAGCCACTGGCTGCTCACTGTTTACTAGACACACCCCTACTCACTGTATAGCGAGTAGGGGCTGAATTTACTAATACTAAGTAATCTTTACTTAGTATTAGTATTAGTAAATGTGGCTGAAAGACCAGTTTAGGTCTTTCAGCCTTTTGGTAGATAGCTCCCTAATACCGTGGGAATTAGGAATTTATCTACTAAGTGGCTGCTTAATTTATGTATTTTATGTTATTTTAAGTGATTTCCCTATCCACATTTGTTTGCAGGGCACTTGTCCTACTCTTACCCCCATTTTACTTCCTTTTGCAGCCCTTTAGCCCTTTCCAGGACTTTTGTAGAGCCATTTTTGTGCCCAAAAGTTTGGGTCCCCATTGACTTCAATGGGGTTCGGGGTCAAGTTCGATCCCGAACCCGGACTTTTTTTCAAAGTTCTGCCGAACCCGCCGGACCCGAAATTCCAGGTGTCCACTCAACTCTACTCTTAACCTTTCTTATATGTCTACACATGAAGGAAGGAATACATAGAATATTTCCTGAAAGACATTCATGTACCAGAACAAGCTGTGTAGCTTAGATGTCGAATCCCTATATAGTTCGATACCACATGAGCTAGGGTTAGCAATGATCAGACTAACCCTAGAAGAACTGAAAATTCCTGTGGAATACATTAATTTTCTGATAACATTACTCAAACTGATCCTAACCAAAAATATATTTCTGTTTAATGGTACCATCTATCATCAGGTAAGAGGGGCTGCCATGGGTACATATTGTGCCCCCTCCTATGCGAACCTGTATCTAGGAGCATGGGAGAAGGGCATCATGGCAGATCCTAAATTACAAACATTTTGCAGTCTAGTATTCTGTTGGAAGAGATACATAGACGACGTGTTTATTATTTGGTTAGGATCAACAAAGGATTTTGAGGACTTTGTACATCATTTGAATGAAAATAGTTTGAACCTGACATTTACCAACGAGATGGGGGGCAGGAATTTGAACTTTCTAGATCTAAATATTTCACTACAGCCTGGAGGAGGAGTGCTAACGTCTCTGTTCCGTAAAAAAACAGCCACAAATGGATTGTTAAATTGACAAAGTTACCATCCTAAAACCTTAAGAACAGGTATACCCACGGGCCAATACCTGAGGCTTAGAAAATCTTTTAAGGAAAAGGGCTATCCTAATAGGGTGTTAAGGAAAGCATATTCTAGAGCAGTTCTATCAGATAGAGATGCACTCCTTTCAGATAAACACCAAACAAAGATCTAACCCTAACCTTATACGTTGTATCGCCACTTACGACGCTGGTTGGACATATATGATGGAAACGCTTAGACGCTATTGGCCAATCCTAACTTCAGATACACATATTAAAGATGTGATCACCACATTCCCCTCGAAAGGGAAAGAATCTCAAAGATACCTTGGTGCCAGGGGCGTACCTAGAGTATTTGGCACCCGGGGCGGATTCTGTGCTTGGCACCCCCTTGCCCCCCCCCACAAAAGCCCTCCCCCAGCGCCAGTTTGGCTCTGCCTCTGATTTTGCTTAGCTCCTCCCCACTTTTCCTCCATGTGGCCAGTTTATCACGGCACCCTAACTACCATGGGGCACTGTGCGGCCACAGCTCACACAGCCCCCTCCAGCCAGGGCCGGTGCAAGGATTTTTGCCGCTCTAGGCAAAAGTAAAGTTTGACGCCCCCCCCATGTGACATCACAATGCCCCACCCATATGATTTGCCATGTTATCTAATGCCAGTGATGCAGTGCCGCCGTGTTTACATTAAAAGGCCTGCAGGGACAGGCTATAGACACCAGAACCACTACATTAAGCTGCAGTGGTTCTGGGGACTATAGTGTTTCTTTAATGTGAGGTAAATTAGAGATTAGTGCCACGAATAATATACTAGATTGCCTACTTACAACCAGATGAGGATGATGATGGGCTCTAGCTGCAATCTGGCTCCACTCGTCTGGTGTAGAACAGGCTCCCTGGAGGCGGTTTGTAACTTAGGTCACAAAAATCAATGTTCTGGGAGAACGGGAAGCAGCTCCATTTTTTGGGGGCCCTTTACACAGCTCAAGGTCTGGGTCCCAGGGTCCACCCTCATGTTCCTCCAATGAGTTTGTTCACAGGTGGTGGAGTGTGTAGGGGATGTCCTGATATGTGTGTAAGGAATGCATTGTGTTTGTATGTGTAAGGGCTGCAAGGTGTGTTTCTGTGTATGTACGGGATGCATTGAGTGTGTGTAAGGGGTGCATTGAGTGTGTGTAATGAATGCATTGTGTGTTTTTGTGTGTGTAAGGGATGCATTGTGTGTAACGGTTGCATTGCTTGTGTATGTGTGTCTGTGTGTGTAATGCGAAACAAAAGTGATTTGCACCAAATATGCAAAAAAAAAACCCTCTGTGGCTAAAAAGGTAAAATATAAATATTATATAAATACCCAGCAATAGGAAGTGCGAAGACTCCTCAGTGTCTTCAATATATTAAACATAAAACCATAAAAAGCACAACCTAAAAATACAAAGGGAGACCAATAGTGCAGACAAAAACAACTAAATACTTAAAAAAGAGGAACTATAAAACACTCACAAACATAGAAGTAAAAAGGCAGGGTATAACCAATCTTCTTCAAGTGCTTCTTCTTCTTCTTGTATATGAAGATGAGTACTTAGAACAAAGCACAGAAAAAAAACATAGTGTATAGCTGTATGGTATTCAGAAAAATTGCTTTATTATATGCACTTACAAAATAAAAGAAGTAAAAGGGCTCATCAATTTAAATCACATCCGCTGTCTGCCATCCAAAATAGGTAAAACACCAGAGGAAGGGGACAAAATGAATTCAAAGAGTCCAAAGTAAAAGAATATTCAAATTGTGAAAATAAAGCTTGCCACCCTACGCGTTTCGTCTGGAAGACTTCGTCAGGGGCTCGTGGCAATAGTACACCATACACATACAATAACATTTAAATACCCTGCCTTTAAAAACCTTTATCCAATCACCAAATAGAACTTCTAATCCAGTCCACCTGAAGGTGCTTTTTCTAACTTGTTCCGTTCCCTTTTCGCGCTTCTTGCGTCCCAAGCCTCATTCTCAGGAGTACCGGAAGAGGCCGCCGATCCACTTTCGGAACGCTTATATTTCGTCATTTCCGGTCGCCGCCGGAAGTTATCATAAGTCCGACAGAAAAAAATCACACTTTGGAACGCAAATGCGTTCCACTTCGGATAGAACGGCAATAAAACTTCAAAGATGGGATACACATAAACTCACAGAACAGAAGAAGGAAAAAGTTTTTAAAATCCTCATACAAATAAAAAATAATAAATAGATAAAAAATATAAAAATAAAGTAATTAATAAAAAACTAAAAAAATATATAAAAATAAAACCTCATAAAAACCACATCAAAATTTTTTTTTTATAGAAAACATGCCATATCAAAATCAACATTCATACCTTCAGGTTGCATTGTTTTTAGTGTATGAATCCAATAACCTTCTCTTTGTCTTAATTTTAATAACAAATCACCACCTCTTTCATCCAAAAGCACCTTTTCAATCCCAATATATGAAAAAGTATTGGGATTGAAATTTTGACACCTATTGCAGTGAACAGGGACAGAGTGAGTTACTAGCTTATTTTTAATATTATTATTGTGCTCTAAGAATCTTTTTTTCACCGGCCTGATCGTTCGTCCGACATATTGGGTTCCACACCCACATGTCAGAAGGTATACCACATGTGTAGAATTACATGTGATATACTCCTTGATTTTAAAT